CTGACATTGAGCCTTTCTGTCTCTTCCCCTTACATTTGGTGATAATTATTCATCAGGAGATGTGCCTTTCTGTGGTTTCAGTGTCATATGCTAAGTGACACGCATCGGGTGTGTCTGATATCTGTCTAGGGGACTCAGAACATACTGAAAAGGAAGTGGTCTCAATGGTAGCAATATTTTGGACCATTTGGGTTTTGTCTTGTTTGTCACTCAAGTGCCCACTCTCAATATGCCATTGGAATGCAAAGATAAGTAGCATGACCCTACATTTCAGCAAACCTTCCAGAGTTTCACATTCAACTGCCTGATCTTAACACAGGTTGAGTGTCCCTTGCCTGGCGTGCTCAGGGCCAAAAGTGTTTTTGTTCACTGTTTTGTTTTGCTTTGCTTTGTTTCCAAGATTTGAGACTTTGTCTACATAGTGAGAGTCTTTGGGAATGAGACCCAATCTAAACATGGAATTCATTTCATTTTCATATACCACTCACTCCGTATGTCTGAAGGTGGTTTTGTGCTGTACTCATTCACATCTTGTTGCACCTATATTTTGATGGCCCCTTATCTCCTGAGGCCATGTGTAGATTTTCCCATTTGTGGCATCATGTTGATAGTCATACAGTTTGTTTATTTTTTTTACCATTTTAGATTTCAGATTTTTCCATTATGTGTTCAATCTGCATGGTAAGTGAAAATATGTAAAAAGGTTAGCATAATTCTGAACAGAAAGCTAAAAGATGGAGTAGCTTTTGAATTTGGCCTCATTGTATGAGTCAGGTGTCACTTGACAAGGTACTGAGGGAGAAAATGGGGCTAGAGAGAGAGAGATACTATGCAAATGCCTTTCATAGACTGGGCCCTCTATGTGTCCCTTATGGAAGAGCTTGTTGCCGGGCTAAGTTAGCACTCACCCATACTTTTGTCTTAATGGATCCACCATAGAGGCTAGGAAAGCTAAATACATAATTAAGGACAGCCCTATAGCAGAGCCTGGCCAACTGACCTTGTTTGGAAATCATGTTGAGCGTTTGTAGAAATAGCTCCACTTCCCAAATAAGAAACAGATATACTTGGTATTGCCTCCTTGCTCTTAGCTTCAGAATAGCCATTTTAGTTGTGCCTCCAGGACAACCACTCTGAGTTATCAGGAGACTGGATGTGGAGTTGAGCGTGGAGGTGTGGTTGTAGTTGGTAGTTCCCAGTCTCTACCTACCTGAAGCCTGCTCATGTGGGAAAAACCAACCCTTCTCCTACATCATTGTTAAGACTTTTCTTGTCGCAGCAAGAAGCACCTCCCCAGCTGATGCAGACATAAATTACATACACATGTAGCATGTGCTTGTTTCATGTCTAAGTGTTAAGCCTTGGTTAGTTCTTGAGATGTTTGTCTTGATTGTTGCATTTGTTATGGTAATCTACAGAGTAGATTACCATTCAGTAACCTTTGCTATTGTAATTGTTTTGAAACACCATAACCTTAATAAATGTGTGTGTTCTCATGGCTCCAGCAGGCAGCCATTCCTCCATCTTATTCCCTCTCCATGGGTCTTGTTCTCCGAGCTACAATATTAAAAGTAGATTCACCCTACTGTTCACTTCCAAATAGTAAAGCGAAAGGAAGAGTTGTCTCTCATTTTAAATCAAAAGCTGGAAATTATTAAGCGAAGCACGGAAGGCATAGCTAAAGCCAAGAAAGACTAAACGTTTGTCTTTTTTCACCAAATAGCCAAGTCGTGACTATCAATCTTAAAGGAAGTTAAAGTCCTGTTCCAATGAACACATAAGTGATACGAAAGCAAAATAATATCCCGACGCTGATGTGGAGAAAGTCTTAGTGGTTTGTTAGGAGATCAAACCTGCTAAAGCATTCCTATAAGCCAAAATCTAATTCAAAGCAAGCTCTTGGCATTGGTGGTTTAGTGGTGGAATTCTTGTGCCTCCATCCTCTGGCCCTAAGTGAACTCTTAACCTCTTCAATTCTGTGAAAAGCAAATAGAGACCGAGAAAGCTGCAGCGAAGAGTTCAAACCCGACAGGTTGGCTCGAGTGCTTTAATTAAAGAGTCCATCTCCACACATGGATGTTCAGGGTCAGCCAACAAGCGCTAATGCAGACCCTGCAGCAAGGTAGCCAGAAAGTCTAACTGAAATAGTCGATGAAGACGTCTGTATTAGCAAACAGATTTCCAGTGAAGATCAAACAAGATTCTAATTAGAAAAAGAGGCCACCCAAATCATTCATAGCTAGAGAGAAGAAATCAATGCCTGAGTTCAAAGGGACAAATTGGAACAAATGCAGCCGGTGACTAAAGAAAACCAGGGCTCATTTACCATTCTGAAAATCTTAGAACCTTTAAGGGTTGCACTATAGTGAATCTACTCTACCTGTGTTCTGGCTACGCAACAACAAAGCCTGTGTAGCATACCTGCTTATAACGTGGCATGCTGAACATTTGATGCCCATTACTGAGACATAGAGCTGAGGAAAAAAATTATTTCAAAATGTTATTGCTCATTGACAGTGCACCTGGCTCCCCAATGGTTGTAACAGACTTATAAGGACAAGAAGGTTCATTCATGGTGCAGCCCACAAATCAAGGAACAAGCTCAACTTTTAAGTCTTATTACTCAAGAAAAACTTTCTGTAAAGGCTGTACAGGAGATAGTGATTCTCTGATGGAACTGGGTAAATTGAAAAGCGTTTGGAAATGATTCACCATCCCAGATGCCATTGTGCTTCATAAAATGAGGTAAAAATAACAATACGTTAAAGGACCTCAGAAAAGAGTAATTCCAGCCTTCACAGATTCCTCTCAGGGATTCAAGACATCCAGGAAGGGAGTAACCGGAGATGCAGCAGACATAGAGAAAGAACTAGAGGCTGTCAATGAATTTCTGCAGTCACATGATAAAACTTTAGTAGTCAAGGAAAAAAAAATGCTTCCTTGCAGCGGGATCTTTCACTGAGGAGGACACTATGAAAATTGTTGGAGTGATAATAGAGGATTTAGAATGTTCCAGAGACTTGGTTGGCAAGGCAGTAGCAAGATTTGAGATGATTAAGTCCAACTTTGGTAAGGTCCTGCTGTGAATAAAAGACTGTCAGACAGCATTGCACACTGCAGAGAAAACAGTTCATGGAAAGAATAATCAACCAGATCAAGCAGATTCCATTGTCTTGTTTTAATTGGCAAGTCTCTTCTGCTGACATGTCAAGAGCCATCAGCATCAAGGCAAGATTCATCACGGGCAAAAACATTTCGATTCCTGAAGGCTCAAGTGACCAATTACATTTTTTTAGCAATAAAGTATTTTTAATTAAAATGCTTGCATTATTTTTTTTTCATACCTGATAATACCATACACTGAATGGACTGTGGGGTTGTATAAGCTTGACATATTCACTGGGAAAACAGAAAGTTCATGTGACTTGCTTCATTTTTACTCTATTGTGGTATTCCGGAACTAAACTTGAAGTGTCCCTAAGGGTTACCTCTCTTGATATATTCAGTTTTATGTGAAAGGTATTGCTGTGCACACCAGAGCCCTGTGATGGTCTCACCTTCCAGCTCACAAAGCTAGAACCATGTGGAAAACACTCAAACTATGTTTTCATTGAGGCTCATGGTGTCACTTAGTCTATTGTTTCCTCATCATCACTTTTAGGTTTGTGTGTGTGTGTGTGTGTACATTTCCTGACACTGCGTCAAAGTGAAATTTAATCGGTGTTGTAACCCAGTCATGATTGTTTCTCCCCTATTTGTTTCTATTAGCCATCTACTCCTTTTTTTTTTTCTGTGTTAAGAATTTTATTTTATTTTTTTTAATTTTGTATTATTTTATTTTTTTCAGTTTTTTTATTTTTATTTTTATTTTTAGTTACAATTTGTTAACTCTGTGTCCCAGCTGTATCCCGCTCCCTCATTTCCTCCCCCTCCCAACTCCCTCCCTGGTCTCCTCCCTGCCCCTTTCCAAGTCCACTGATAGGGAGGACCTCCTCCCCTTTCATTTGGCACTGTTTTATCAGGTATCTTCAAGGCTGGCTGCAAAGTCCTCCTCTGTGGCCTAACAGGACTGCTCCTCCCCTGGGAGGGGGGAGGACAAAGAGCCTGCCCTTGAGATCCTGTTAGAAATAGTCCTTGTTTTCCTTGCTTTGGAAAACTACTTGGTTACTGAGCTACCACGGGCCACATCCGAGCAGAAGTTCTATGTTATATCCATAGATGGTCCTTGGTTGAGTGTCAGTCTCAGAAAAGGCCCTGTGCCCAGATATATTTGGTACTTGTAGAGCTCCTATCCTTTCCATATCATACTAACTCCCTTTCTTTCATATGATTCCCTGCACTCTGCCATGGTTTGGTTATGAGTCTTAGTGTCTGCTTTGAAACACTGCTAGGTAGTCTTTCAGATGCCTTTTGCGGTAGACTCCTGTCATACATTCAATGCACATCCCATTTGTCTTTCTAAATGAGGATTGATCATCTTCACCCATGTCCACTTACTTGATTATCTTCTTTAGGTGTGTAGATTTCATTATGTTTATCATATCTTGTAGGTCTATATAAGCGCCATCTACTCCTTTTAAGCTGACTTTTTAATGCCCTTTTGTATGTGTGTGTGTGTGTATGTGTGTGTGTGTGTGTGTGAGAGAGAGAGAGAGAGAGAGAGAGAGTAGGGAGGGGACAGAGACAGATTGACACAGAGACAGACACAGGCAAAGAGAGAGAGAAAAATTTAAGGTTTGTTTTTATCTTATGAATTAGATCTTTACTTTAGAAAGAATTAAGGTAAAACTGCTTCAGAAAGTCCCATTCTCAGCCAAAATGATTGGATTAAAGCCAAGGGTCCTTAAAAATGAATACAGCAGGACGCTTAGGATGTATGCCTAAGTCCATGAATTACCTTTGTCTCTGATTTAAAACAAACAATGAATATTTCAGGTTTTTTTTTCTTACCTAGTAAAGTAGTTCTCCCTTTCAAATTTCCAATACTTTTTTTTCCCCAGAATCTTCAGCTACTTGGAGCCACAGCCATCGAGGATAAATTACAAGACCAAGTGCCTGAAACCATAGAAACTCTAATGAAAGCTGACATCAAAATATGGATCCTCACCGGGGACAAGCAAGAAACTGCCATTAATATTGGTAATTCATCCCACTCAAATTTTAAATCCTGATACCTTCTAACAGGCCAATGTGTTTTAATAAGATGAATTAAAGATATGTTTTTTTTAAAAAAAAAAAAAAAGTGAGGCTGGGGACAGTGAGGACAGGGCTTTGGTTTGAACCTGAGATAGTTAATCTGAACAGATTCAGGAGGAGAGACAAAGCTGTAGGAAAATCAACAAAGCCAGTCTCATAAGGCCCTGGCCCCCTTGCAAGAAGCCCCGCCCTCCAACCTGGAGCAGGTACATGGGGCATGTTACCCTTTTCCCCAGTAAACTTCTCAATTTTACACATATTCCTCTGCCTAGTGTACTTAATTCTAACAGACTGAACTGTGGGGAAGATAACTTCTAGGGAAGCACCTTCCTACTCCAGGAAGGAGATTATCTCGGACTGTCCCAACCGTGGTGTCCTGGCTAATTCCTGGTCAGCTTCACACAAGCTAGAGGGGTCTGGGATGAGGATGCTTGGTTGAGAAAATGCATTCATTGCCTTAGATTGCGTGTAGACAAGTCTAAAGGGCATTTTCTTGATGAATGATTGGCGTGGGAGGGCCTAGCCTCCTGTAGGTGCTGCCACCCTGGGGCCCATGGTCCTGAATGACGTAAGAAAGCAGATTAAGCAAGTCATGGAGAACAAGCCTGTAAGCAGCGCCCCTTCATGGCTTCTGCCTTAGTCCCTGCCTCCAGGTTCCTGCCTTGAGTTCCTGCCCTGGCTTTCTTAGATGATGGACTGTGGTGTGGAACTAAAGGGTGAAACAAACCCTTTTATCCCCAAGCTGCTTTTATAGTGTTTATCACCAGGAACTTGACTCAGACAGATGGCAAAAGGTACAGAAACCATAAACCAAGATATCTCTTAAGTCTAGGGACCAGCGGCATCCCCGAGCCTCTGCCACTCAGCTGCGCCATGCTCCTGGGGAGGGAACTCGATTTCCACTTCTGCTTTCTCACCTGCTGAAATAAACCTTGACACCTTGCTTGCCACACCTGTCCCCCAGTGTGAATTCTCCTGGAACGCAAGAGCTGAAATGGCTGCTATACTTGGGACTGGAGAGAACGAGAGAGGGGGCAACCTCTCCTCATCCATTGTAGACTATCTTAAGAGTTGGTTTTTCAAGGCTCTAAACGTGTGATGTGATTGGGCTCACCTCGTTGTTTACTCGTGGCCCCCCTGCCCCTTTAAAGTCGCAGTGGTTTTGTGTACAGCCAGCCCGCCCCGTACAACCGCACGTCCACTCTCAGGCCTTGCCTTCCACCGTTAGTGGCAGGTGTGTGTAAAGTTTCCGCAGTTATCTTTGAGAGTCTAGAAGTTGGGAGCCATGGCGGGCGCCTTCGTGTGCTAGCTCTACTTGCTGTGGCCAGAAGTGGTTTCTAATATACGGCTATCAGTTTGCTTTCAGCCTGCGGTCAGCTCCGTAAAGCTGTTCGTGTTAGTCCTCTCAAGCTGCCATAAATTTCTCACATTTTTGGAAAGTAGAAATCTGAAATCTGGGGGAATGTAGCAGGCCGCTACATCATTTCATTTTGATTACCTCCTTTCTTAAAGGCCCATACTCTACACAGTCACACTGGGGAGAGCCAAGGCTTCAGCATATAAATTTGAGAGAGGGAGAAATACAAGGTGATTTTAATACTAGTCTGACAGAGAAGAAAGTATTTGGTGTTCAAAACCTGTAATACTAATAGTACAGAAAAGAGTCCTTTTTTCCCAGATTTGTAACCAGGCGTGGATTCCCTTCTATACACTGATCATGCACCCTATGCTTAAAATTCCCTGAAGCCCTGAATATTCCCTGAAGCCGAACATTTGCATGGAACCGCAGTTTTAGAAGGCCATTGTTACGTACCCTTCATCTCAAGCACATTTAGTTAATAATCCATTTAGAAGTTATAGCAGACAGCCAAAATTATACTCAGAATATAAAAATTATACCACAAGTGTATAGTAAATCTGTATTAAAACAGAACTTATAGAATGAACGTATATTGTATATAATGTGTATATATATTCATTCTATATATTACATATATTCTACAAATTCTGTTCCTCTAGATATACAGGTATAGATATATAGATATAGGGGATTTATTAGAATGGCTTATAGGCTGTGGTCCAGCTAGTCCAACACTGGCTGTCTACCAATGGGAAGTCCGAGAATCCATAGTTGCCCAGTCTACAGGGCTGATGTCTCTTCAGTAGATGCCAGAATCCTGAAGGAGCAGGCTATAATGCTAATGAAGGACTTGCTAAGGAAGATGCAAACAAGCAGGCAAGAGAGAGAAAGCTTCCTACTTTCATGTCCTTTATACAGACTTCCAGTAGACAATATGGTCCAGATCAAAGTTGATCTTCCCACCTCAAAAGATCCATATTAAATGTGGGTCTTCACACTTCAGATGATTTAATTGAGAAAAAAATTACTCACTGCAAGTGTACCCAGCCACTTGGGTTTTAGCTAATTCATAGATGTAGTGAAGTTGATGACCATGAATAGCCATCACAAAGTCCACATCATTAATATAGATTTTATTTACTAATTTTTTTTAATTAGTGATGGCTTCTAATACTTGCACATCCTCCTTTGTTCTCAGCTGTTCCACTGCCCTCTCGTGCCTCCTGCCCCATCTGCTAGTTTCCCTCCTCTCCAGACAGTAGGCCCTTGCTCCTTTCTTATAACAAGGGTCCATTGCTCTGTTTCTCCCTCTCTCCATATTATTTCTTCCCTTCTCATGACCTTCTCCCTCCTCCCACCCCTTCATTCTCTTAAGTCAAGGTTTCTACATAAAAGAGAAGACCTGTGTCGTCTTTGTTTTTCTGAGTCTGGCTCATTTTGCTTAACATAATGATTTCTAGTTCCACACATTTTTCTTACAAAAGTGGCATTTAAACTGTTAAACTGCTGGGCTGTGAAAGTTCCCAGAAAAATGGTAGAGAGGGTTCATTCACCCGGCCAGTGGCATCATGTCTATAGTACCAGGTTCCAATTAAGTACATGAATCAGTTGGGGACAGAAAACAAACAAACAAACAAAGACCTGTCATGTGAGCTAAGGTCAGGGAAACAGACAAATGAAGGTAGGAAAAAAAGAAATGACAAGGGGCTAAGGAGATGACTCGGTCAGTGCTTGCCCCACAAGAACCCATGAAAAACAGTGAGCTGTGATTGTATTATATGCTTGTATTCCCAGTGGTTGGCTGGCAGACACAGGCTCACAGACCAGCCAGCCTCACCTACTGGTGAGCGCCAAACCAGTGAGAGACTCCATCTCAACAAAAGAAGGTAGATGGTGCTTGAGTAATGGCACTCATATTTGATCTCTGGCCTCCACATGCATGTACACACGTGTGTACTTCCCCCAACACACACACACACACACACACACACACACACACGCATGTCAAATGGGTGTTGCACAGATGGAAATCAGGAAGAACTCATGCAGAAGGTGACATTTTAGGAAAGACCTGGAAGAGAAGGAGTTTGCTATAGGTGACAACACAGCAATTGTTGCCTGTTAGAGAGAGACCATCGATGCTGAGGTGAGCACAGAGGAGCCACAGGATTGGAGTGCCAGGCCTTGGAAGGCCTCTGGATTTGCTGCTCTTAGTGCACAGGAAAGATACAGGATGGCACTCCACAGGGAAAGACGCGAGTCTCCTCAGGACACAGCCTCTGAATGCGAGGCTGACAGCGGTCTTGGAAAGCCAATTTAGAAACAGAGGAGCCAGTGGGCACACTGCCATGTTGATGTGTGATGATGGCTTTGACCAAATGGTAATGGAGAGAGGTGACTGGCTTCACAGATTTTTCTTTTTCTTTTTCTCCTGTTATTAAAAACAGATTTTTTTTTATTTAATTTTTTTTTTTTTACATAATGTGTCCGATTACGGTTTCCTCTCCCTCTGCAATGGGTCTCTTTCCTCCCAGTTTCTCCCCCCTCACCTCCCATCTGGATCTACCCCTTTTCTGTCTCTCATTAGAACACAAACAGGCTTCTAAGGGATAATAATAAAATATAATAAGATAAAATAATTAACCAACATCAGAATAACAAAAAACAAACAAAAGGAAAACAGCCCATGAAAAGGTTATGAGAAACAGAGATACAGAGACCCACTCATTCACACACTCAGAAATTTAAAAAAACAATAACAACAACAACAAAAAAAACCAAAACCACTGAACTGGAAGCCATAATATATACACAAAGGATCTTTAGGATAAAAAGAGAAATATATATCTAAATAAAATAAAAATAATGAAAAACTTTTTTAAGCTCTGGCATGACATCAGACAAGGAACCTCCACAGATGCTATTGAGTTCATTTTCTGTTGGCGTGTACTGGTAGGCATGCAGCCTACCTTTATGAGTAGTTCATTTTCCCCAGTGAGACTCCCTTGGAGAAAACTAAATTTTCCTTTGCAAGTAGTTACCAGTTGGAGCTAATTTCTGGGTTGGGAATGAGGACATGTGTCTACTTCTTTCCCTAGGACTCACTTCATGTGGTGCAAACCTGTGCAGGCCCTGTGTAGACTGCCTCAGTCTCTTCAAGTTCATATACAAGTACATCCTGTTGATGTAGAGGGCCTTGTTTCCTTGGTGTCCTCCATCTCCTCTGGCTCTAACCCTTTTCTTTTCTTTTTTTTTTCCCCTCTTTGCCTGCTCTTATCCAAGGTTCCCTGAGCCCTAAGGGGAGAGATTTGATGGAGACATCTCATTTGGGGCTGAGTGTTCCAGGATCTCTCATTTTCTGCATAAATGTCTAGCTGTGGATCTCTGTATCTGTTCCCATCTGCTGACAGGAGGAAGCTTCTCTGATGGTGGCTGAGCAAGACACTGAGAGTACAGAGGCAATGAGTGTAAATGACGCCATTATAATTTTTGTTAGCGTGAGATGAGTCAGGCAGGGTTGCCTGTGTTTCCTCAGCTGTATCAACCATATCAAGCCAACTTAGAGTAGACAGACAGACATGGGTTTAATACAGGAGTGGCTTTGTCCTGGAGGGCATACAACAGAGTGAGAGAAAGAAGGCAGGAAAATGACGCCATGACCATCCAAGTCAGGGAAATGGTGGAGGTGACAGGCCCCAAGAAAGTCACCCGCCCTCCTGAATCCTTCTCCGCAAACATCCACTGGCCCAGCCATGACTCACAAAGGATATTGTGCATATGCTTGGCAGCTTTCAGGACATGGAGATACTACACACAGTTGTTCCGTGTTGTTTATTAAGAGCTACAGACGATGGCCTTCCCTCACACCCTTCCTAATGGCCAGGAGGAACATTTAGTTTTTAGCTTCCTTTCAGTCTGGAAGACGACTGATACCCTTCCCTCACCATAAAATCTGCTTTAGGTGTTTGAACACGTCATTGCTTTACCAGCTTCACTTCTTTCCAGAAAAACTAATCCCACCTATGTATCTCTCTCTTCCTAGGACACTCCTGTAGACTTCTGAGGAGGAACATGGGAATGATCGTTATAAATGAAGGCTCTCTTGATGTAAGTGACTGCGTTCTTCAAAACCTTTTGTTTTCATATAAGTATCTGTGGAGACACTTTTTTCCTGTGAGGTTAGAAGACACCTTTGTACTTTATCACCATGGTTCTGCTTTAACTGTGTGTAGAGCGTTGAATAACATTACTATGAACTGAGTTGCGCTTTGCATGTGCGGTAGCTAAAAGAAATTGCCATGTGATTTCCTTCATGGTGTGAGACAGAAAAGTTGCTTCGTAGGAACAGTAGGTCAGGGGGCTGCGACTCATTCATACAGAATGCCGTGTTGAGCCTTTTATAACTGCTTTAGCTTCCAATGTTAACATGTATTTCTCCGTTGTTAAAGAGTTTTCAAAAGTTATACTGTGCAACACGAAATAACGGTGCTGGCCACAGAGGACTCATTGTTTTATTTTGGTGGGTCCTCCCCCCACCCCGCCTTTTTGATGCCCTAAGTACTAGGATGAAATGTAGGACAAATAACCTGTAAATACTTTGAAGTCAAGGTGGCTACTTGTAATTTAAGGTGGAAGACAAAACAGGAGAGGTGATGATTTTACAGATGCTTAAAATAGTTCCTATGACGCAAAAAAAGCAGAGCGGAGTAAACCTGATAATTAGGAATTTGGGTGAAGCATCAAGGCCACCTGCATGTGTTGAGAGGTGCTGAAAAAGCTTGAGGACAATGTTTAGAAGTTGGCTGAGGGACAGGTTATTAGTAAGAATTACTTGATTGCAAATGTTTTCATTACTGACCCTCAAAACCTGATACTTTCTCCTTTGCTTGTGCAGTCTTTGAATGACTGTAACGGTGTGTGGTTTTGCTGTGGTATCATTATGGCTCTGCATATCACACCCTTCAGCAGTCCTCCCTCCTTCCTTGGTATTAGCTCTGAGCTGCCAAAGCCAAGATTTTTGCCTGTGAGCAATGACCAAGTCAGCCCTGCCCTCTAAAAGCTGACACATAAAAAGCCAAGTAAATGCCCACACATAACAGCCCAAAGCAGATATGTAGTCGATGAAGATGTTTGCTGTGAGGCTCCTGTGACACAGAAGAATGTTTTCATAAAGATGATAACAGCTCATCCGGTAGAGGTGAGTCAGTGAGTGAGGAAGCCCATTTGAAGCAGAAAGTTCTGGCAGGGAGGACCAAGCTGTACTCAGAAAATGGGAAGGGGCCATTGAGCATGGGGTTATAACTTGTTGACTTTTTTTTTTTAATAACTTGAGCATGGGGTTATAACTTGTTGACTTTTTTTTTTAATAACTTATGAAGGCATGTGATATGGAGTCTTCATTCCAGGGAACAGTACAGGTGATACAAAGTGGATTGTCCATGTCTGCATCTAAATTTCCCTTTCCTCTCCGCACCTTGACCCAGAGAGCTGATCTATACCTGATGTGTTTCTCCGTGTTCATTCTCTAACTGGGTTTTTGTTGCTGCTGCTGTTGCTGTTTGCCCATTTCTTTATTTGATGCGTGCGTGCATACGTGTGTACAAACATGCCATGACATGGATGTGGAGGTCAGAGAACAACTTGCAAGAGTCAGTTCTAGTCTTCCACCACATGGGTTCTAGGAATCGAACTCAGGTTCAGCAGAGTTGGCAGAAGGCGCTCTTCTTACTCAGTAAGCCTTCTCACTAGTCCGTATTTCTCACTGTTTAGAAAAAAAAAAGGCTAAGAGCAGTCTTCGTCTTGCTGAAGACTCACATCAGTTCCAGTATGCACATGGGTATTTTACAGCCACCCCTAACTGCAGCTCCAAAGGATCCAATGAATCACACACGTGAAGGCAAATACTTACACTCGTAAAATAAATAAATCTAACAACAAACTTAAGAAAACACCATAGCACGCTCTGCGTACTGCTTTGTGCTTCTGACGCATTGCTTTTTTAACCTGCTATTATCTTAGCCAATGTTTATGTGTTTCCGTGTCTGTGTGATGTACATTATGAATCTACTTAATCTTCGCTAACTGTGGCACCTAGAAAGAAATGACAGCGTTAGAACTGGAAAGGTGATCTCAAGCTGACCACGGCCAACTCGGGCAGGTTAGAGAACACACCAGCACAGGTGTGTTTCTCAACTTCATTCATATGAGGTACCTATCAGAGCTATGATGTGCAGGCATATTTGGTAGGGCAAGGAGGCACAGATGTCATGTAAAAGACCACAGTAAGGGGGAAGGAAGCGGGCCCCAATGGCAAGGATTTTGTGGAACAGCTCAGAAACTTGACCCCATGGTCCTTGGAAAAGAGCCACCAACAGTGGCCCCAGACAGAGCTGCCTGTGCCTGTAACATTGTGGAAACTACAGTGCAAGTGTTTCCTCCACCTGCTGGAGTCTGTGCATTTCCAGTTCCGTAGGACACACTGGTGAGCAGTTTCTCTAACACCAGGAGAATCTAAATTTTAGAACCTGTGTTGCTGAACACAAAACACAAGTCTGCTTCATTACTTGCATCTGGAGTTAGGCTTTTTGCCTTCTGTAGCTTGTGCCAGCATGCCTCCTTTTGTTTTATTCTGCTCCATCATTTCCATTCATTTCTTAGATAAGCATTTCTTTGTTTTTAGGTATCAAGTACTATAAATAATAGCCCGAAGGGGGAAATTGAAATATAAAAAATAGTCAGTGTACAACATTCAGTGATAAACATCATGAGCAAAAGTACCTTGGGAGGAAAGGGTTTACTGGGCTGATAGGTTGTAGTCCATCATCATCAAGGGAAGCCAGGGTAGGAACTCGAGGCAGGAACTGAACCAAAGGCCATTGAGGCCCACTGCTTGCTAGCTTACTCCTGGTTTGCTAAGCTTCCTTTTTGTATAGCTGAGGCCCACATGTTTAGGAATGGCACCAGCCCACAATGGACTGAGCCCTCCTACATAATTAGCCATTAAGAAAATGCCAGCAGGCTGTGGTGGCACACACCTTTAACCCCAGCACTCAGGGAAGCTGAAACAGACAGATCTCTGTGAGTTCAAGGCCAGCCAGGTCTACAAGTGGAGTCCAAGACAGCCAAGGCTACACAGAGACACACCTGTCTTGAAGAAAAAAAGAAAGGAAGGAAGGAAGGAAGGAAGGAAGGAAGGAAGGAAGGAAGGAAG